CTCTCTGTAATACATTGATCACATATTATGTTTTACTGACAAGCAATAATATTGTTGTAATTATGTTGTAATTATAAGAAGAAGAAAAAAACTACTCGTCCCAACATGCCCCTCACATCATGCAGCACAGCCAATGGGGGGGGGGTTATTTTGGGGCTGAGACACAGGCCTTAAGCAGAAGGGCTTTTGTTACAGCTAGAGGGAGGGAGACGGCTATAATAAAATATATGGGAGCCACATTTCCCTGGGTCTGCAGGAGCATCCCGCAAAAAAAAAAAACGGGGCCTCTCCCGATTCCACAGCCACACATCCTATCATGGGGATCGGCATACGACTGATGTAGCCCCATTTCTTTTCCAAACAACGGATTAGATCTAACAGAAACGTGGAGTCATATGTCTTTGTGTTGATATATTTATGTTAACTGCAGCAGGAATCCAGTTTATTTGGTGTATTTGTTTAGAATGGAACACGCTGTAGGTACAGACGCTTTTATTCTACCGTTGTTTCGATGCTTCGCTTCGTAATATCGCGCAGAATCCAAACAGGCGCTGCATGTATTTCTGTTTTTGATAACAATAAAGCAGTGGTTTTCATCACACCGTTTCCTGATGGAAATGTAATCTGGCCAATTTGATTTAAAGGGGCACGGGCAGCCATGTTGGCATGTTCGCATTCAATTCTTCAGTTTGTAAGGTTCTCCGCGTGATTCAATCTACCAAGAAACATACAATTTAGAAACAAACTGTCTCTTTGGAAAATTCCCTGGTGATAAACCTTAGAAGTGCGTGTGTTGGTGTTTTCCCCATGTAAGTTACACACACTAGCACATCCGCTAACGCCGCCTTTCATATAACGTTAATGCAGCGACATTACACGGGTCCGCTTTACAAGGCTGTTGGGGAAACAGGATCTGTTTTTAACTACACCAAATCGTAATTTTGTTTATTCGTGGCCCATATAGTATTTTCGTTAAGTCGTTTGTGTTTACACGTGACAATATGATTATATCGGGTCTGTTTTGTTATCCAGAAAAGGCTAGCAGGCTAACATTAGCCAGCTGCTGGTCTTTGCAGGTTTGTTTCTTTGACATGAAACGATGTTTCAGTTTAGAAGCAGTCGTTTATTGTTCTGTGGCATTGAGTGATGTGGTTCATGTGCTAAATGAAATTCTTTAACGGCTTGTTTTAAATCCTTTCTTACTGGACAGGCAAAATAGACCAAATTAACACTGCTCTGATGGCAAATAACTTCTTTTCTTGAACATCTGGCATAGCCATACTTATAATTAAAGTGAGAGAAACTCAAAATTCAAAAGATTATTTAATAAAATAAAGGGTAAAGCATGCATCGTTGTCAAATATAAGAAGTAGAGGGGATGTTAAATTAGGAAAATGGACATGGACATGTTTGATTCTGGCTAAATATGCCATCCAACAAGGCTGCGAAATTTCAATCTAAATTTTGCATGAAGTTTCCTCTCAAGAGTCAGGGAAAGTTGACATAACCTTGTAGTGGAGTACACTTTATTTATCCCCTGGGAGGGAGATTTGCAAAAAGCAGCCTAATACCCTCACAAACTCATTTGTGCATTGCAATACCCACACATTTTTGACCCATTTTGTTGATTTTTATACAAATAAGGTTATTAAACATTTTTTTTGCCAAGGGCAATGTTTCACGAATGTGATAAAATTAGGAGGCATTTATTATGTGTCATAAACACACTCTGTTGTCCCTCAATATCTCAGCAGGCCCTGTAAGAAAAAGGGAAACTTAAGGATGCTGGAGCAGAACAATGGATTTCTCCTTCTCTTTCATGCAAGGGATCATGGGAAACACAATTCAGCAACCCCCTCAGCTTATTGACTCCGCTAACATCAGACAGGAGGATGTCTATGAAGCCATCAGTGACCCAGGAGATGATGGAGGACAGCAAAACTTTGAGTCTCCTTTGGAGTCAGGCTTTCCTTACCCTGCTGAAGACCTCCCAGTCATTACAAACGGCTACCCGACAGGTGTAGGTACCTATGAGCAACAGGCCAAGTTTGCCTTGTACTCACAGTTCCCCAATGGCTCAGCTAATGGCTACGGAGCCATACGAAACTATGGGGATCACGGGTTGTTGCTTGGTGAGGGTACAGTATTGAGACCACCAGTGGTCCAGGAGAAGCCTCCAAGCCACATCTCACCTCCACCTCATCCCCATCATCACCACCAGCCTCATCATCCTCCTCACCATCACCACCATCTGCAGCAGCAACACCAACACCATCCACATAACCCACCACTGTTACCTCACCACCATCACCCGCCTCCTGCCTCTCACCTAATGCCTCAAGTCTTGCCACCCCCTCCTCCATTGCTCTTGCCCTCTTCACCGCCCCTCCTGTCACCTCAAGAAAGCACCGTCTCCAACCCCGTTGCGCAATCCACCACCACTCCTAAAAAGACCAGCTCCCCAGAGATCAAAATAAAGATCATTAAGACCTACCAGAACGGCAGGGAGCTGTTCGAGTCCTCACTGTGCGGGGATCTGCTGCAAGAGTTTCAGGCCGGTGAGCCTTCCAGGAGAAGACACGAGCAGAAGAAGGAAAAGAGGAAAAAGAGAAGCAGCAGACATGGTGCTGGTCAAGAAGAGGAGAGCCAGCAGCCATGCAAAGGCGTGGAGGAGCGCTCAGGGGTGGTTCACAACTCCGCACAACCCAACGAAGGTCATGTTGCATTCAGAGAAGAGCAACCTTCATTAACCCTCAGAAGCCCCAAAGCAGAACTGAAGGAACAGAAAGTGAGTTTAATATTCTTGACATGTTTATAGTCCTTTTCACTTCAGAAGAAACCACTTTCTGCTTGATGAGTTCTGATCTTACAGTTCCTGTTCATCCAAGACCATCTTGTGTTCTTGTTTAGGTTGAAAAGCACTTTCCTTCAGTCATCACTAGCACTGGCTCTGGTCAAGAGTATGAGATCGGTGACTTGGTGTGGGCTAAGGTTGGGACGTATCCTTGGTGGCCGTGCATGGTGTCATCAGACCCTCAGTCAAATGTTAATATACGTCTTAATAAAAGAGGTAATTCATCTACTACAAGTACATATGTTAATGGCTGGAATACTCTACACAACAGAACAGATTTTAAAACTCTAGGCACTAGTCACACACCTTTTGGCTTTGAAAATATTTATAGAGGGCAAACTGGCCATCATACACTAAATGACTGAGAATTACACACTACCAGACTTTCAAATTATTTTGAACACTTCAAATCCATGCAAAAAGTCGTTGCTAGTAGTCCGCCATTCTGGTGGACAAATGAAAACAATCTGTTCATATGTTCTTGTTCATGTTTGGAATCAGTAGTCTGAAAATCTGTCTTCAATTGCCTAAAATTTGCAGAATGGCTCTGATTTTCGGCAACTAACCTCAACTCACCTAAATCGGTGAACAATTTGGGAAAAAGTAGGGTTGTGGATTCCAGCCTCTAGTTGTTAATTCTACTAGCTTGCTTCAAATTTATGTTTCTAATAACATGCTTCCATGGTTCCTGGTAGGTGTTAAGGAATACCACGTGCAGTTCTTTGGGAGTGTCCCTGAGAGGGCCTGGATCCATGAGAAGAGAATTGTGGTGTACAAGGGTGAGAGCCAGTTCGATGAGTTGCAAGCAGAAACACTCCGGAAAGCAACCAACCCAACTGAGAAACAAAAGGTATCCTGTACCCCTGCAAATTTGTTGACCTTCTTTCTGTGGACATTTCTGGGTACTTATTCTATGGTTTATTTATTTTAAAGTTGCTGAAGCCTCAGTCCCAGAAGGAGCGTGCCCAGTGGGAAGTGGGTGTGGGTCACGCAGAAGCCGCTCTGCAGATGACACGAGAAGAACGCAATGAGAACTACACCTTCATCTACATTGACAAGGAACCCAGTTCTGCTGCTCCTGCTGCCGACACTGTGTCCCCACCTAGGGCGACCGGTAAAAACCATCCCGAACGCAAGCAGAGACGCTCTAAAGGCAGTACCGGAGTGAAAGAAGAGCCCATACCTCGTCGCCAGCAGCCACGGAGGCAGTGCAGCGTTAATAGTAGTGGGGAAACATCATCTCCCGATCAGGGAGAGGATGATATGGACCGA